GTGAAGTGTTCAAAAGTCGACTCTAACTCCCCTAGGAGATTAAATGGTAGATGCTCCCAATTTAAATATAGATGGCATTATTTACTTAGATACCTTGTATGGCTCATTAGAACCTCATTCTAGCTATATGGTTGAGGCACCTTAGTGGTGGATGGTGGGGGGAGTACTTATGAGAGTTACATTGGGCTACAATGTTTTAAAATGTCATCCCAAAATCCTGGACCGTGGAAAGGAAAAAGAATGGTCCTTTTGCTTAATGACTAAGATTATGATCTCATGGTAAGAAAGTCTTAAAGGTTAGTAAGACTTAATAGATAAATCTTTAAGCCTTAAAACAATTGTGGTGTCAACCATGGACAAAGAAGGATTTAGTAGAGATTAAATAAGGGATATTGGGGAATGGTATTCTTTATGTCTTGGGGTATTTTAGGAATGCTAAGATGTAGGACCACTCATAGACAGATGGCCTAGTTTAGAAAGATAGACTGTGGTGCAAATGGTATTGGATTGTTAATAAGATAATGTGAATAGCATATAAAGTTGGTACATCGGTGGTATGAAGTGGAATTAGACTTATAAAACATTTTGACCAAGTGCAAAGCCAATATAGTTGGGAGAATATATAAAAGACTAATAAGCACCTTAAGTTTAGAAGAAGATTTATGAAAGTTGTGTGTAAGATTCCCCCAAGTGGTTAAAAACATGATTAAATGACTAAAATAAAATGGAAATTTTAATCAGTTACAACTGGTTAGTGGTGGATAAGCTAGTGTTAATTTGTTTACAGATCTACTTATGCCTCCTCTTAATATTATTCCAAATTCTAGCCTATCAACTAAAGAACCTTAATTACCTTCTATCCTTTTGAGAGGAGGGGACAATATAAAATCCAAATATACAATTATAATATTATACACTATTATTAGTGTTGTGGGATTTTAGTAGCTATTGGATTTGTTTGAATTTGTACCACTCACTTTTGTATATAAACTATGGTTTTTGGGCTAATTAAATATTGTATTCAATTTTTCATGCACTCATATAATCAAATTGTTATTATTCATTAATATTAATTTTTATAGAGTTTCATGATTTTTTATTTTTTATTTAAATATTGTCAAAATTTACTGCATTTTCTCTGATTAATGATATACTTCATCTGATTTTGTAATTAATAAATGTGTTTCTTTAAAACCTTTAACGTTTTGCTTTCTAAAATAACACTAATTGGAAGTAAAATTGAAAACCGCTCAGCTTTAAAAAAAATTCAATTAAACTAACTTGAGAGCTAGGGATATCACTTATATGTGTCTTGTGCTCAGGCTATGGCGCTCCTGGCTATGGCGACAGCCGCCGCATTCAGTCCTCTCGCCATGGATCGCCACAAGTGGAAGTCGAGGACTGCACGAAGATCTTCCTCCATCGTTGCCATGGTTGCCGTCAAGAACGATGAGGACGAGCCTTGCATTGTTGATCCTCTTCTTCCATCGGAGCGAAAGGTACTACCGTTACATTTTCTCGTAGCTAAGCAACGATGGCCTTGCACTGACAGAGATCGCCGTCAGACCTTGGCACTCTTTTTCGAAGATTTTCCAAGGTCGCTGCGCCATACTGGAGCTCGGATGACAAATCACAGGCAAGAATCCGCCTCGTTGGTGTCTTCGCTCTCACACTCGCAACGACGGGAATAAGCGTGGGATTTAACTTCCTTGGGAGAGATTTCTACAACTCACTCGCAAGTAAGTTTTAGACTATTTTCTGATGTGTATCTTTTTTTCTTCTTTCAGGCAAGGATCAAGAGCAATTCACTCGGCAGCTACTATACTATCTGGGAGCATTCATTGCTGGAATCCCGGTAAGCTTTTGGTGGTTTCTTCTATTTTTTTTTCAACGATTGAAACCATCAACCCTTTGATTGAAGGTGTTTGTCTTCCGAGACTATAGCCGTGATACTTTGTCTCTTCGCTGGAGAGCATGGATGACAAAGTATTACTTGGAACGATATTTTGAGAATAGAGCTTTCTACAACATCCAGTCTCAGTCGCTTGTGGATAACCCGGATCAACGCGTGGTCGACGATTTAAACTCCTTCACAGCCACCGCTTTGGGATTCAGCCTAGCTCTTTTCAACGCTACGATCGATCTTATATCCTTCAGCGGTATTCTTTACAGCATATATCCACCGCTCTTTGGAGTTCTTGTAGTTTACTCCATTGGCGGCACTGCGATAAGCGTTGCGCTAGGAAAGGTAGATTGTCTTATTTATCTTTTTATATCTTGCTCAGCTCCGGTAAATGCAGGGTCTAGTGGATCTTAACTTTATGCAAGAAAAGAGAGAAGCTGATTTTAGATATGGCTTGGTGCGCGTGCGAGAAAATACCGAGTCTATTGCGTTCTATCAAGGAGAAACTAATGAGATCCAGCTGCTGCTGGAGCGTTTCAGACAAACCTTTGACAACTACAGTGTACGAGCTTTTCTCTTGTGGTAAATATCGCGAGTGCACTGTGTTGCCCCCGTGCTCTTTGTTGCTCTCTAGGCGGTATTTTTTTTTCAAGTGTTCTGAAAACTAATGTTTTTTCATTTGTGGCTTTACAGCAACTGCTCTTAGCTTCGAGAAATCTTCAGTTTTTCCAAAGCGGCTACAGATATGTGATCCAGGTTTTACCTGCAGCCGTTGTTGCTCCACTCTATTTTACTGGCAAGATTGATTTCGGGGTTATCAATCAGTCTTTTTCTGCGTTCAACCACATCCTTGGCGACTTTTCCTTGATCATATATCAGTTTCAGTCGCTGAGCTCGTTTTCTGCTGTTATTGATCGTCTGGGTACGCTTCTATATATTTCCTTTCGGCTTGTTTGTTCCTATTTTATGGTTGTCGTTTCTTATTGTTTCTTACAGGTGAATTCAGCGATATACTGGATGCACAAGTAGCAACTGAGGATCTGAAAGGCATCAAAATCTTTGACTACGTTGACAAAGATGCAAAGCCTCTTCTTTTGGAAGTGGAGGAGTTAACGCTCCAGACCCCTCAGTATACATTGGTTCTTATCGAAAACCTCACGTTCAGTATCTCTCAAGGACAAAATCTTCTGGTTCGTATTAGCAAAGCTGGATGTGTTGTATTTTAACGTATTTTATAGGTGATGGGTGCCAGTGGGAGTGGAAAAACATCGCTTCTAAGAGCTATTGCTGGACTCTGGAAATGTGGAAGCGGGTCAATCAAACGCTACTTCACCGGAAACTCCTCCAAGTCCAATGGCTCCATCCTGCTGGAACGCACCATAGAGGATATCTTGTTTCTTCCTCAGAAGCCATACATGGTCCTTGGAACATTAAAACAGCAGCTCCTATATCCAACATGGAACGTGGAAGAGAAAGAGGACCTTGATGATGGTTGTTTTCTCCTTTGTTCTTCACAAAGTTCTAGCTTTAACATCATTCGTGCATGTAGGCCTACTTTCGCAATCCTCCACACGACCAAAACCCCGAAGCGCTGAGCCAGCTGATGATCAGCTAGCGGAAGTTCTCCGCCAAGTAAAGCTGGGACAACTCCTCACTCGCTGCAATGGCTTGGACTCCTTCGCCGACTGGTCCAGCGTGTTATCCCTGGGAGAGCAGCAGCGCCTTGCGTTCGCCCGTATGCTACTTTCAAAACCAAGGCTCGCTCTCCTGGACGAAGCAACCAGCGCTCTCGACGAAGAAACTGAGGTCTGTGCTGAGTTTTTCTTGATGATGATGATGATGATGGTGATGTTATTGCTGCGCAGGCACATTTATATGGAGTGCTGAAAACATCAGGGATATCCGTGATTAGCGTCGGGCACAGAAGCACGCTCCGTCGCTTCCACACGCACTTGCTCAGGCTCGACAATAAAAACGATGCCAACTCTTGGTCACTCGAGAATCTGGAGCAATGCGAGCAACAAACTCTTGGCACCAACTGAGAGATATTTATGCACTCCTGCAGGCCACGCCTCACGGGTAAGCACTGCTGTTTTTGTTTTCGCACCAGTTTTTCTTGCGCTCTCGAACGTGTTCTTCGCTTATAAACACTCTGTGTGCACTTGCAGCTCGACCAACCAACACACCCTCTTTAAAGAAGTGGAGGAAAAAAAAGAGAGGCCAAGAGTTTCCAGTGGCATATTGACAGTGTGGCTACTGCTTCTGCCGCTGCTGGCTGCCAAGCGAATCGCGTTGAATATCAAGCTGACAGGCAAAGTTAGTTGAAAGAGAGAAGGAAGGGATGGGAATAATTTGCAGAGGCCCGGACAGACAGGCATAAACAAAGCGCGCAAAGTGGTCGCGGCTCCTCCTCTCAAAGTCTCACAGCTAGATTCAATCCAGAGGCCGAGGCTTAACAGGAAGCAAATCGCGGAGAGCCATAGCTATGGAGGAGACAAGCAAAGCAAAAGCCGGGCAAAAAGCAAAGCCAAAACAAGAGCAAGCAGCGCAGGCAGAAACAAAGTCATCCACAGGAAATGGAGGGAGAAAAAAATCTTGGGCTGCTTTTCAGAGGAGATTCTCTTGGAGAGATTTCTTTGGAGAGGTGGTCACGCGTGCAAACAAAAGCTCTCGTTGCGGCCAGCGATGGATGGAAGAAAATGGACGCGCCAAGGACAGACAGGATGGGCAAAGCTGCCTGTGGTCACTCCCGACCATTTGGATTATTAATCACAAGTTGTAGGGATTAGCGTTTTAACCTGTGAAATTAGCAGTGTTTTAAGTTAACTAGTCATGGTGGAACCAGCTAGTATTCTTTGTAGCTTTCCATTTTATGCTTGTGGATGGATATGGACTGTACAGAGCGAGGTGGATATACCGTGCGCTGTAGGAACGTTCGTTTTTGGCATATTCTCCTGGCCACAAAGGCGCAACTTGGGTCATGGGCGTGAAGTACAATACAAGGAGCTAGGAAACAAAAAAACAAAATAATACATCCAAACCTTTATGCTTTTATAGCCGTATACATTGTTAATACTTTTTTTATAATAAAAGTGTATACACTATTCATACTTTTATTATAAAAGCATACGAATATAGTTTTCAAGAAGTAGCCTGTGGACCATAGCCATTTGGCCAGAAGATTTCGCTTCAACTGCAAATCGGGTGCTTGCAACCAGAAATGTGTGGCCCTGCGGGGAGGATCTCCACGAATATTCCCCCCCGTTTCTTTTATAGAACACGGAATTTTTCGGGGGTGTGCGTTTTGTGTCGTCGAGTGATTTCGATGCACTCCTTGTGTACCAGGAGATCACGAACAAGGAATGCTGGCCTCACACAAATTCGCTTAAACAACTCGGGTGCCAATCGATCAAGATCAATCTAGAAAAGCCCGAGGAAGAAAGAAAACCGCGCCCAACTATCCTATTCTATGCATAGTAAAAGCTATATAGCGCGCGTCGATCAATCCATCGATCCATTCGTCCAGCTGGACAGAATGTGACCCTCGAATCGATTCGATGGCGCCCGGAGAGCGAGCCCAAATGGATGGATCGCCCACCTCCAAATTCTCCCGCCCCCAATGTAAAGAAACACACAAAGCCAGGGAAATTATTCTTGTTTAAACATGCATCGTGCTCTACCTTGTTCTTCCGGTGATCACGGGGAAGAAAGATTCTTCTTCTTCTTCTTCTTCTTCTAGGCTCGGAGGAGGAAAATGCTGAGCTCCTGGCCTGGGGAGCCATCCGGATTGATCATGTGGAACGACTCCGAGTCCGCGGATCCCACTACTCGCTCGTACGTAGCGCGCATGTACATGAGCTCGTCCAATTCCTGATCATCCGAACCCGCGGGATCCCCGGAGGAGCTCTGGACGGGGATCACTCCAGCGCCCATCGAGACCGATTGCATCAATCCCAGCACGGCCCTGTCGGGCTCCGTGAAGGGCCTCCTCACCGCGAATCCAACCTTGCGCCCATTGCAGTACATCGTCCACACTGGCTCCGAGTAGAGATGCCGGTCGCGCTGGTGGTGGCGGTGATTCTTCTTCCTTGGCGAGCATGGCTCGTTTGATGATTCGTGCCTCTTCTCGCATTCCATCGCGATCCGGAGGAGCCCCGAGGACATCTCCTTGACGAGGAGGACGGTGGGCATGGCCAGCTCCAGGAGCATCACGGGCGGCTCGCGGGGATCCTCCTGGATGCTCATCACCACCTTGCCTTTGCGCTGGCCAAAGATGGTGCCGGTGACGACCGAGGAGGATCGCTTGGAGGAGGAATCGTGGTCCTTGGAGGAGGAATTGGAGGAGATTGGAGGGGATGTGGTGGTGGTGGCGGAGGAGGAGGAGGAGGTGGAGGAGCTCCGGATCTTGGTCTCGAATTGGAGCTTGCAGCCACAGCAGCAGGGGATCACGAGAGAGCCCAGCATCGAGGCGAGAGATCTCCAGCACTTGACGTCCTTCTCGCAGTGGACGCTGGTGGGCTCGTCGATTATGTTGTCCTGCTTGCTCAAATCTACCATCTTGACCGATCTCGGCCGGCCCCCGCCGGCAATCATCGGTGCCACCCCCATAGCTAGCGAGCTCCTCTTTTTCTCTTCCCAGAGAGAAAAGCTTTTCTTTTCCGTTGCTGTGAATCAAGGAAGGAACTTGAGGCGATTGATCAAAGAACCCAAGAAGAGCTCTACAAAGATTTTCGAGAGAAAAAGTGAACTTTTTTTCCTGGAAACGATTGATCAATCAAGAACCAGCTCGCGATTTAAGCGGCCTTGCTTGGCAGGCAATCCAGTAGCTCCCAAGCCACTCAAATCGATTCTTCCATGCTCGCTCTCCTCTCTCGATTTCCTAGACTGTGTCGATCAAACAGCGCCTTTTTTTCCCTGACGCTAGACAAGCCCGAAAAAACAAAGTGGCAGCTCAAATAAACAAGAGTGGTCCATTCCATTCCATTCCATTCCGTCCGCCAGACCGAACGGTTACTCAGACGGAATATACACCGGCCACATAGTGAAAGATCCGCTTATTTAAGTTCTCCCATTGTCCAAAATTCCAGGAACACATACAATTAGCTTAGCTCTCTCTCCATCTTAAATTTTTCTCTCAGTTCGTCGTCGTTATTCCCACGATACATCCATACAATGTGGTGGCCTCTCTCGTCATGATCTCAGTATCGCAGCCAGTATGTCCGGCGGCGCAGCCAGTGGTAATCCGGAAGAATTTGCAGCGATCCCACGGCAGCAACAGCCAAGTCCTGGGAAACTCTCACCTTTAGTTGAAACCCAAAAGGAAAACCAATGACTTTCACGAACCTGATCGTAGATGAAACGCTCCGCAACTCTCCTCACCGTCGCCGCATCCACAGCATCGATCCTGGCGAATAATTCCGCCAGGGGAATTCTACGACCATACGTGAGTATCTGCAAAAGTTACGGACACTGGAGTCAGCATTTTTTGTTTTCGCGCGAGGAAGTACCTGGCGTCCAATGTCCTCGGCGATGGGACTGGTACCATCGAGGTGAAGTAACAGGCAGGCCTTGAGCTGCATCCATCCCGAACCACGGTGTCGTTAGAACTAAATCGTGCTTCTGAAGGACTTTTGAGGAAAACCAACCTGGTTTCTAGCACGAATCACGTCATCCTCGCGAACATGGTAGACCATATGGGTCATCTCTCGCGTGATTACCCATGCAAGGTCGTCCAAAACGTCTGGCTGGAGAGGTCAAGGAAGGAAATTAAGAGCGTTCCAAAAAAACTGAAACGAGAACAAAAAAAAAAAAGAAAGAAAAAACAAACCTTTGCAACAGCGTAGACTCCAAATAATCCCGAGTCACTGTAGTTTGTGTTGAATGCCATGATACTCTCCGCGATATTGTTCGCTGACACCTTTTGGGCCATTTCTGACCTGTACAATCGGAAAAGTTGAAAGAGTGGACTCAATCATCACAGATACATACCCCATATGCTTCCCAGCTCCGGAATTCTTATTCCATGAGCCAAGCATCGTCTGCATAACCATCAAGGGAATGGAATCCGGGTCGGTCCATGAGGCTCCCTTGACAGCAATCGCAACATACGCCAGTGGAATATCATCGTCTCTAAACCTCACCTGTAAGAACAAAACAAGAAAATGTCAGCAGGAGCCTACAACAAGTTTGACAAAACTTACGTCGGACCCAGTAAAGAAAGCTGGTTCTTTCTCGACGAGATCGGCCGCTGTGGTGCCGTCGCTTGGAAGCGAGCCAAACAGCCTCTCAACATCCCGGACGAGGGCATCGTGATTCACAGCGCCAGCAGCAGAGACAACCTGAAAAGAAGACAAGATCAATGAAACAAGAACCCCAGACAGAGATTTTACCATGCGTGGCCCTGTGTAATGCGTCGAAATATAGTTCTCCAGATCTTCCTTCGTGATGGAGCGGATGTTCTCCTCGGGTCCAAGGATTGTCCGGCCCAGAGGACTGTACTGGAAGGCAGTAGCATGCAAGTGATCAAACACCACTTCCTCCATCTGCCCTTCGACCTGATCAAGAACAAGAAAGGAAGAAAAAAAGCACTCAGAGAAACGAAAGAAAGAAGAAAAAGAAAAGAGCCTCTTTACCTCTTTCATCTCCCGGAGAATCACATTCCTCTCTCGCGCGATCCTGTCCTCGTCAAAGTTGGAGTTTTGGAGAATGTCGGCCAAGATATCCACGGCGACCGGCACATCCTTCTTGAGAACCTTGGCGTAGTACGTGGTCTGCTCGCGCGAGGTGTAGGCATTGAGATGGCCTCCCATATTCTCGATCTCCTCCTCCAGCTTTTGCATACTCCTCTTCTTGGTCCCCTTGAAGATCATATGCTCCAAGAAATGGGCGGTGCCATTGGTAGCATCCGTCTCGAATCGGCTGCCCGCATCGATCCACACCCCGACCGTGGCGGTCTCAGCTGCCATATTCGACTCGGTGGCGACGCGCAGGCCATTGGAGAGCGTGGTGATGCGCGTCGGGGGCGTGGCGAGGATGCTGCTGTGATCCACGGTGCTAGGGACGGGCGAGTTGAAGCGAGTGAACCGCTCATCGGGGATGGTGAGCGAGGCGGCGGCGGCGGAGGAGGACGCAAACCTGGAGTTCCAGCGGGCGGCCCGCCGCGCGGCAGCTGCCACAAGCCTGCTCATGGCCGAATGGAGTTGCCCTAGCGAGCTAGGGCTCAAGTGCAAAGGGAAAGAACTTTTGATTATTATAAACCACTAATTAGTGCTTATCTTTCTCAAACTTTTCTTGATCCCAACTCAATCTGAGAATTTGCTTTATACAACATTTCAATGGAGTGAAATTGCAATTGTGAGAATACAAAGGCTCTTTCACTTTCTTTGGACATTCATGGAGCAATCTAGCGAAATAGTTACATATTTTTATACACCTTATAAATTATTATGTAAAGTTAAAATAGAAAAAGATAGATAATTAATTAATTCTAGGTTAAAATCAAAAAATAATATAATAAATATTTTATTTGCAAATAGAAGAATAACTATTACTTTAAATAAGTGTGTATAATAAGGAGTAACATTTCATTTTCAAACACTTTCATAGTTAATATGATAATGAAAGGATTCCTTCATCATTTGATAAAAGAAATTTATAATAAATTTATAAATTTTAAAAATGTTTATAAATTGGTAAAATCTAAAACTATTTTGATAATAAATAAACCTTATAAAACATTAAAAATTTATAAAATAATTAAAAAACAAATTTTATATTACTGATAAATTTACTACTTAAACCAATTTGATGGTTATGTAAATAGATTATAACTTAAAATTAATAGCTATAGAGAAACTATTTTATCCTTTTTGGATTTAATAATAATGAGAAATATTTATCTTAAATTTAATCTTGTTTTATGAAAGACTCTTGTTATTTTAAAAAATTTGAAAATTTTAAAAATATTTATTTTCCATCAAGGTTATTGTAACAAATTTTTGCTATTACCAAATCTAGATCAAATATCTATTTTTAATAATGAAAGATATTTATAATAGATTATGTGGTACCACCTCTAACAAAATAACTAAAATTAAAGAGACTAAAGAAATTAATAATAAATTACATTTATAAATAGAGCTTTTGTATTTAAAAATAACTTCAATAACATTGCTTAATGTAACCCTAACAACATATTATTCTAAGAAGATTTTATTAAGATTTTGTTTTTGGCTTTAAATACTATATTTATTTTAAAAGAAAAGACAGATAATCAAAGTATAAAAATATATAAACTAACTGTTGAACATATGAATCTATCAATGGTTTAATCATGTTTTATCAAGAGAAAATATCTTAGCATCAAATATAGCTTATTGTAAGTTAAAGTTCATAATTTAAAAAATCCTTACCCTTAAGAGTAAAGTATTAGTTATTGGCTTAGTGTTGTACTCTTGCATTAATTATTAGATACATAAAATGCTTCTTTTACAAGTATTTTCCTTGACTACAAAATAAATTAAATATATTTATTAAATAAAAATTGAAAAAGAGGTGGTTAATTTCTATATATATATATAATTGATATCCATTATATATTTCATAAAGATTATATACATTATATACATTATATTATTTTGTATAAGGTAATCAATCTTTCACCCTAAAATAATGTTAGGAATAAAGGTCCTACTGAGATTTGAACTCAGATTGTTGGAGTCAGAATCCAAAGTCATGACCACTAGACCATAGGACCACCTCGCTCTGCCCTAAAGCTCACCTTGCAACGAACACTTTTGACCTAATGGATTAAGCTAATCTTTCTTCCGTGCGATGGTGCGGCGGGCGACGGCTATGGCGGCTTCGTTCCTCAATCGTGACGCCATGGAGGAGCTGCGAGGAGCGAGCCGATTGCGCCAACGCAATGTCGAGGTATGGCGTCGCTACGACCGCAATGTGGGACCAAAAGCTTCATTCTCCCAGCGCCATGAATGAAGCTGGCTTGGCCGTGGCTTATGCCGTTTGCTGCTCTCGCAGGGTTTGGGCGCAAGCCAGCGAGTTTGAAGTATAATTTTTTGGAGGCATCTCTCTTTTGTTTTTTTCTCGCGGGGAGAGGAAAGAGAAAAGAAGATGATGTGCCACTGTTCGAGGGAGCAATTCATGTTCGAGGAGAGCATGAGCTCTCCGGAGGCCGCGAACGCTTCCATGGACGCGGCCGCCAGCGGCCTCTCCGCGAAAACCATGGAGGGTGAGGCAAAGCTAGACGAAGGCAACATCGAGGAGGCCGAATCGTCGCTCCGGGAAGCTTTGTCTCTCAATTTCGAGGTACTCGGTCATTTTTTCTCTGCTCTTTCTTTCGCTTTTCCAAAGAGAAGAAGGCCCTCTTGAACGAACTTGGCATTGGAATGTAGGAAGCGAGAGCATTGCTGGGAAGGCTCGAGTATCAGCGAGGCAATGTGGAGGCCGCGTTGCAAGTTTTCGACGGTATAGATATCACCACCATTGTTCCGAGGATGAGACACTCTCTCGCGGAGAGGGGCCGGCACCGGCGTGGGCGATCTCGGACGGAATCCGGCCAGAGCATATCGTTGCATGCTGCAAGCCTTTTGCTCGAGGCGATCTACTTGAAAGCGAAGTCCTTGCAGAAGCTCGGCCGCCTGAACGGTGAGAGAAGTTTTGTTTAATGCTCTCGAAAGTTGACAGTTGTTTTTTTCCTCCAGATGCTGCTCAGGAATGCCGAAGTATTTTGGATACGATCGACTCGGCATTGCCGCAGGGGATTCCAGAAAGTTGGAGCGGCAGTAAGCTCCAAGACATCGTGAGCAAAGCTGTGGAGCTTTTGCCGGAGCTCTACAAAGAGGCGGGATTATATCAGGAAGCCATCTCTGCGTACCGGCGAGCTCTACTTAATCCCTGGAACCTGGACTCCGAGTGCTCGGGAAGGATACAGAAAAGCTTTGCGGTGTTGCTGCTGTATGGTGGAGTCGAGGCCGGAGCTCCGAGCTTAGCAGCACAGGTGGAAGGCGCTTTCACTCCGAAAAACAACGTAGAAGAGGCAATTCTCCTGTTCCAGATCCTCCTCCGGAAGAACACTTTGAGAAAGCTTCCATGGGACTACACCATCATGGAACATCTCTCGTTCGCACTTTCCATCTGTGGTCAGTCGCACGCCTTGGCTCAGCAGTTCGAGGAAGTTTTACCAGGAACTTATGGCAGATCCGATAGGTGGTACAACCTTGCTCTCTGCTACAGTGCCGCGGGACAGGGGAAAACAGCGGTAAACGTCTTGAAGAAATCGCTCAGCCACCTCGAGCGGCCAAACGACGTTCCATCGCTTCTTCTGGCCGCAAAACTGTGCGTTGAGTCCCCGGATCTTACTCGCGACGGAGTGGAATATGGCCGAAGAGCGATCCTGTTCTCGGAAGGGAAGCTTGGATATCTCAAGGGGAGATCGCGTCACCTGCTCGGCGCTGCGCTTGGGAAAGAGGCCAGGAATGCCAAGTCTGACGCGGAGAGGTGCGCTCTCGAAGACGACGCGCTACGAACGCTGCAAGACGCAGTTGCCATCGAGAAAAAGGATCCTTACGCCATTCTCGACTTTGGCATGGAGTCTGCGGAGAAAGGAGATCTCAGTACGGCACTGGACTGCGCAAAGTCATTCCTTGAGCTTACCGGCGGCTCCTCGATCATAGCGTGGCGCTTTCTGGCTCTGGTTCTATCCGCTCAACAGCGACACGTCGATGCGGAGGTGGTGATCAATGCTGCTCTGGAAGAAACTGCAAAGTGGGAGCAAGCAGAGCTCCTCCGGACGAAAGGAAAGCTCCAGCTCGCTCAGATGCAAACTAGCGAGGCGATCAAGACTTTCATGCTGCTGCTGGCTCTTGTCCAGGCGCAGAGGAAAACTACTGGATCATCTTCCAAGGTAGGCACTCTTATCTCCTTCGCTTTCATCTTTTCTCTCTCTCTCTCTTTTTGCTAGCCATTTTCATGAATGATGAATTTCGCAGAATGGAGGCGACAGCGTATCAGAAGTTGAAGTTTGGCAAGATCTGGCCGGCGTTTATACATCGCTGTCGCAGTGGCGTGACGCGGAGATGTGCTTAGAAAAAGCACAGGCTTTTAAAAAGTCTCCTGCTACAACATGGTTCCAGACAGGTACTCTGATCATGCATAGAGTTTTTTTATTCCGTTACATAAAGAACCAAAACTTGCGTTTTTTCTTCGTCCAGGATATCTCTACGAGTGCCGTGGCCAAGAGGAGCAGGCCATGGCTTCGTATAACAACGCTCTGTGCCTGGATCCCGACCACGTCCCGAGCCAAGTAGCTCTCGGAGGCGCGCTCAAGCGCAGCGGCAGCAAAGCTTTCCCGGTTGCCAGGAGCTACCTCACGGCAGCGCTGCGTTTGGAGCCAAAGAACTACCTCGCGTGGTTTAATCTCGGACTCGTCCACGAAGAGGAGGTCCGGCTCAAAGACGCGGCTGCATGCTTCCAGGCCGCATACTTGCTCGAGCAGTCGGCTCCGGTGGAGAAATTTAGCACTCTACGATAGAGAACCCGGCACAGAGTTTTAACCTCGTCAACAAGCTCGTAGCATTCAAGCGATGGCCAGCCAAGAAGTTTTGGACTAAAACCGGTAGGCAAAGTTCGCAAGGTTCTTTTTTTTTTCTTAGTTTCTCACTTTGTGTACACTTTGTTTGTAACAATGTATCATTCTAACATTTCTTCGAGTCCAAAAAATTCTTTTTTCTTCAGCTAAGCAATGCCTTTTGAGTTTTTCTTTTTCGTGGGCTTTTCTTTATTTTTTTCTCGGAGCCAAGTTCTTTTTTTTTTTGTTCTTTTCTGTACACTTGTTTGTAACAATGTATCATTCTAACAATTCTTCGAGTCCAAAAGCAATGCATTAATTATTTCTTTTTTCATGGGCTTGCAAATTAATCCAAAAAATATCTTTTTTCAGCTAAGCAATGCATTGATTTTTTTCATGGGCTTTTCTTTTTTCTTTTGGAGCTATTAAGTTGGAGAGCTATGGCGGACGGTGGATACGCAAGCACCTGGCGTCGCGATAAGGAGGGCCAAAGTTCGTGATAAGGCGAATCGGGTGGTAGCCATGCGCTGTGGAGCAGGACAAATTTAGGGTTAGGGCTTTTAAATGGTTTTTCTGTCCTTTTTCGTGGGCTAGGGTATGCCGCCATCGCCGGTGGCGTGAAGAAATTCGCAGCCCCTCGCGACGACAATCGAGCAGCAGCTGAGCTATGGAGCCGGCCGCCGCTGATGGAATTCCGGAAGCCACGGCCGATTTGCCCGAGGAATCGAAGAATGCCGCCATGGAAGAATCGGCAGCTTCTCCGGGTAAGATTGAGGCGGCCGTGAGCGATTTCCCTGGCGAGAAGGAGGTGTCGTCGCCGATTCCAATCCGGGCGCCCGTGTCAGAGGATGTGGAGGATGGCGGCGACAGCACTGGGAGCGGCGAGAGCTTCGACAGTGCGCTGGAGAGGATGGCTGGGTCTTCCACTGGGAGCTTTGACACTGCTGCCAGCCCGCGGGCCCAGGTGATTGAGGAGTCGGACACCGCCAGGGTGATGCCCAAGGCAGTGCTTTCTTCCGAGGATAAGAGAGGAGGGAGCTCCAGCAGTAGCTCCAGCAGTAGCAGCAGCAGTGATGATGACGAAGAGGGTGAGAATGGAGTGGAGTCGACTGGAGAGACTGGGGACTTTGACGATTCCGCCATGCCTGTGGCCAAGGTCTCTACCGAGGATTTGGAATCCGAGCAAGCTGACGAGCCAGTGGAGAAGATAGGAGATATGGATGGTGAGGAAGAAGAAGAAGAGGAAACGAACCCGGAGCCCGAGGCGGTGGAGCCTCAGTCGGCTCAAGGCTTGCGAGTGAGTACCGATGATTTTGATACTAAGGTAGCTGACGAAGATGAGCCTCGAGCGATTGAGGAGCCTCAATCGGCGGAAGGCTTGCGGGTTCTGGGAGCTGACGACGATGGTCCCGAAGGAAGCGACGAGCCGATGATTGCTGAGAAGATAGAAGAACCAGCTGAGAAGATAGAAGCTGAGAAAGTACACGAGGAACCTCAAACCGAAAGAGTGGAAGGGGGACCAGTAGCTGAGGAACTGCAAGCAGGACCAGAGGAACAACCAAAAGAACCAGGAAAGGAACCAGTAAAGGAACCAAGCGACATTGTTGATCGCATCGAAAACGGTAAAGTTTTTTATTCCTCCTGTGGTGTTTTTATTCATACTGACATGGACTACTTCCCAGATAAGAAGCCCGAGAATGATGAGAATGGAAAGCATGAAGAAGTAGATTATAAGAAGCCCGAGGAAGCTGGGAATGAAAAGCATGGAGAAGCAGATGTTATTGGCTCGGCTGCAGAGGCAGTAAGGTCCCAGGAGGAGCGTGAACCAGTGCCTGAGACGGATTCTGACGAGGAGGAAGAGGAAGAGGTTGATACGAGTGCAGCGTTGAGAGCTTTCGCTCAAGCTGCTGCGGCAACTGAGACGCCGTCACTTGGTTCTGCCGGTCCTTCACTGCCTGCCAAACCGACAGCGACGCGGCTGTTGTCTTCGATTGAGGGAGCACGGAACACTCAAGTAGCTGCTCACAATCCTTCTGGCGGCTCTGAAACTACAACAGCTGTTGAGGCCGCTGACACCAATGGAGAACCGAATGACGAGAACGTGGAAACACGAGAAAAGTTGCAGATGATACGGGTGAAGTTCTTGAGACTCGCCCAGAGGCTGGGACAGCCTGCGAACAACGCTGTGGTGGCACAAGTCCTCTACAGGCTTGGCCTAGCCGAGCAGTTGAGAGGGGGGCGCAGCTCAAGCAGGAATAGCGCTTTCCGTTTTGAGAGAGCAAGTGCTATCGCGGAGGAACAGGAAGCAGCTGGCCAGGAGGAGCTGGACTTTACTTGCACCATTATGGTCCTTGGGAAGTCTGGAGTTGGCAAGAGTGCCACCATAAATTCTCTCTTCGACGAGGCAAAGACCGAGACGAATGCTTTTGCATACTCGACGAAGAAGGTGCAGGAGATTACTGGCACGGTTCATGGAATCAAGCTGCGAGTTATCGACACTCCTGGACTGCTACCTGCCGTGGCCGATCAACGCCACAATGAGAAGATCATGGCATCTGTCAAGCGGTTTATCAAGAAGTCTCCTCCAGACATTGTACTCTACTTTGACAGGCTCGACATGCAGAGCAGGGACTATGGTGATCTTCCACTGCTACGGACTATCACGGATACTTTTGGAGCTGCCATTTGGTTCAACGCGATAGTTGTCCTGACGCATGCTTCTTCGGCTCCTCCCGATGGACCCAACGGCCTTCCTCTCAGCTACGAGATGTTTGTTGCACAGCGCTCGCACGTTGTTCAGCAAACTATTCGTCAAGCAGCGGGTGATATGAGACTTATGAACCCGGTGTCGCTTGTGGAGAATCATTCAGCTTGCAGAACGAACAGGTCCGGTGAGAGGGTTCTTCCGAATGGACAAGTTTGGAAGCCTCAACTTTTACTACTGTGCTTCGCATCAAAGATACTGGCGGAAGCGAATTCTCTCCTGAAACTTCAGGAGAGCACTCCCGGCAAGCCATTCATGCGGTCCAAGGTTCCGCCACTTCCATTCCTGCTGTCGTCGCTACTTCAGTCGCGGCCTCCGCTGAAGCATTCCGACGAGAATGCGGTTGGCGAAGACGACACTGATGACGATATTGAGGACGTGGAAGACTCTGATGAGGAAGACTACGACGAACTTCCTCCATTCAGACGCCTCACGAGGGACGAGCTGGACCAGCTTGACAAATCGAGCAGGGACGAGTACTTTGAGGAGCTGCAGATGAGGGAGAAGCTCTTCCAGAAGAAGCAGTGGAAGGAAGAGATTCGACGGCGCAGGGAGATGAAGAAACGCGCGGCATCGTCTGATTCTGCCGAAGAGTATCCGGCTCCAGTTGACGACGGCTATGACGATGACAACAAGTCGGCACCGGTCCCAGTGCCACTTCCGGATATGCAACTGCCGCCTACTTTCGACTCCGATAATCCTGTTCATCGGTACCGCTACCTCGAAACTGCAAGTCAGTGGCTTGTGCGTCCTGTGATGGACTTGCATGGCTGGGACCGTGACAGCGGCTACGATGGCTTCAACATGGAGCGTATGTTTACGTATGGCAAGATCCCAGCGTCTCTCAGCGGCCAGGTGACGAAGGACAAGAAGGAAGCCAACGTGACGCTCGAGTGCGCGGCATCGATGAAGCACGGAGAAGGGAAGGTGTCGCAGGCCGGTTTCGACGTCCAGACGGTGGGGAAGGACTTCTCCTACACGCTGAGGAGCGAGACAAGGTTCAGCAACTTCAAGAAGAACAAGACGATCGCCGGCCTAGCGATGACGATGATCGGCGACACTCTGGCTTACGGGATGAAGATCGAGGACAGGTTGATGATCGGGAGGAGAGTGAAGGTGGTGATGAACGGGGGCGCGCTCACCGGGAAGGGAGACACTGCCTATGGAGGCACGGTGGAGATCAGCCTGAGGGACAAGGATTTCCCGCTGGGACGATCGCTCTCGACGTGTGGACTGTCGGTGATGAACTGGCACGGCGATATGGCTCTCGGGGGTAACTTACAGTCGCAGTTCATGGTCGGGAAGACAATGGTGGTGGCTCGCGGCAATCTAAATAACCGTGGAGCTGGGCAGATCACTATTAGGCTGAGCTCCTCGGAGCAGCTCCAGATCGCTCTCATCGGGGTCATACCGCTCATCAAAGCTCTCTTCAACTCCAAGTTTGGAACCGGCCAGCAAGCTTGACGAGGTTTGCTGTTATTGCTACTGCTTTTTCTTCTTACTGCTGCTGCTACGCTCCAGGGACGCTTTATGTTTGGATGTTTTTTTCGCTTCTTTTCTTTCGTTATTCTAGCTCCATAAGTTCGTGTGTTGTGTGATTGGTTGACAGTTGCACAGCACAGGAAGGATGTGAACAAAACAAGTCTGCTGACAGGCAAGACTTTTTTGTAGTTTTATATTTTGTTTCGTTTCATGCAGTCGTCGTTTCGTGTTTGTGACGAGCTTTTCTCTCACCAGGTTTTTGCAAGGAAAGAAGAGAAGAGAAAAAAGCTTTGCCATAAGTTTTGGCTGTGCTGGGTGGCTGCGTCGCCGTCGTGCCGGCCCGGCAACCCCGAGTTGGCTCCAGATGGCCGAGAGAATCGAGCAGACGAGACCGAGTTTTTTGGCCGGGCCGGCCAGAGAAGAGAAAAGACCTCTTTCGGAAGGAAGCAACGACGAAACTTGGGTGAAAGACTCACAAAAGAGGGTCGTCGGGATGCACGTAGGGGGCTGCTGCGAGATATGATCTTGGGCGCTGCTCGGGCTTGAGAATTTGGCGACCCAGTACGCCAGATCTCTCGAGCCGCGAGGAAAAATCCAGTTTTGATGGGTCTAGAGGCGGCGGCGGCGGTGGATCCAGCGGGTGCTGGCTTCATGGACTACTTCCCGGTGATGGCCAGGCGGTTGGGCGAGCAGGACTTCATGGAGGAGCTGTGCAAGGGGTTCGAGCTCCTGGCGGACCCGGCGACGGGGACGATCACGCTGGGCAGCCTCAAGAGGAATGCGGCGCTGCTAGGGCTGGAGGAGCTGGGCGAGGAGGAGCTCCGGGCGATGGTGGTGCAGGGGGACTACGACGGTGATGGCGCGCTCAACCAGCACGAGTTTTGCATCCTCATGGTGAGAATGAGCCCGTCGCTGCTGTGCGAGGCCGAGGAGTGGCTCGAGGATGCCATCGGGGACGAGCTCCTCGAGGAATTTGGGTATTGGGCCATGGACGAGGACGACTGCGGCGCAGGTTCTCTGTAGCCACTCCGCTGTGGGGACGAAGAACGAATATTCGCCCTGGGTAGCATAGGCCTGAATATTCGCTAGGGCTGGATATTCCTTGGGATATTTTTGTTCTGGTGGGTGGTTTCCATCGTTGGAATCAATATAACGTTTCTTGAAAGAAATGCTCTGGAAGGATAACAACGAAATAGCTGCCCGGGCAAGGGAATATCTACCGCGCCGGAATGAATGATTCTTGTCACCACCGGTTTCCAACGGCCAGCGATGGGCGGGGATTCTGCGACGGAATTGCTGGACGGTCCCGATGGCCGAAATCCTACCGTTGGGATAGGGGTTTTGTAGCACGTAGAAAGTAAATATGATGTTTACTCGTTCATTCCATTTTCCATTCCCTTCTTTCTTCCGGGCTTCTTCTTTTGGGCTCGAGGAAGGATCCATGCGCGATTCTGCGCACGCCATGGCTTCCTGGGCGGAGATCCGTCGTCTAAAATGACCAGCGCACTCACTCGCCATGGAATCTTTAGGGCGCTGGAAAGGAATGTAGCTCCCTAGCTAGGGATTGGGGTGCGCAGAGGCAACACGACACGGCAGTGGCAGTCGATCGATCGCGAGGAGGATTTTTTAATCGGTGAGTGGAGCAGGGACAGGTGCGCTGTTGCTGAAATTTCCACCGGCATGATGTCTATCGGCGTGGAAATCCTCTGCCATAGCCGGTTTCTTGCGAGCATTCCCAGTTCTTGGAATAATCTCTACTGCCAGCGGGGGGAATTCGTTGCTGGATCTGGATTCTTGGATTTTTGATCCGTGGGGCTCGACGAAGAATGGGGCAGGCTGGATCGTCCATCGCTTGCACGTACATTGAGGAATCGGAGCACGACTACCTCCTCCAGATTCCAAGCCGGCACCACGGCCAATTCGAGCAGGCAAAGTTTGGGAAATTTCTCCTCCAGCAGCAAGAACACCAGCTGCTCCAGCAGCAGCAGCTCCAACAGCATCGCCATCGCGCTGTAGATCTTCTGGAACTCGAGTCTCAAGATGGAGAGGAGGAGGAAGAAGAGTGGGTCGAGCAGGAAGATCTCACATTGCTTGTGCCGGACGAATGCCTCGAGTGGATCTTACACAAGCTCAGCCCGGGCGACAGGACCCAGAGCTCTCTCGTGTGCCGGCGATGGCACCGATTGGAAGGACGCAGCCGGACGCAGCTGTCGCTGGCAGCTCACGCGGACGTGATGCCATTCCTCCCGCGAATTTGCTCGCGGTTCGTCCAGCTTACCAAGATCACGCTCAAGTGCGATAGGAGAGATCCCAGCATCAACGACCGTGCGCTGGTTCTCATCTCCAAGCACTGCAAGGGGCTCGTCAAGCTCAAGCTCAAGGGATGCAAGGACGTGACCGACGAAGGCATCGACCACTTCTCACGGGTGGCGCGCTCGCTCAAGAAGTTCTCGTGTGGATCCTGCGGGTTTGGGCCGCTGGGTCTGAATTGCCTGCTCCAGCGCTGCGCTGATCTGGAGAGCCTGGCAGTGAAGAGGCTCCGGGGGATCTCTCAGGCTTTTCCAGAGCTGCTCATCTCGCCCGGGTGTGGGCGGATCAGGAAGCTGTGCCTCAAGGAGCTGCGCAACGCGAGGCTGTTTGGGCCGCTGATCATCGGCTCCCCGAATCTCCAGGTCCTCCGGCTCTCCAAGAACTTGGGACACTGGGACAAGCTCCTCGAGGCCATCACCGAGCACCTCCCGCACCTCCTGGAGCTCCACGTCGAGAGGCTCCAGCTGAGCGATCGCGGCCTCCAGGCGGTGGCGCAGTGCAAGTCCCTCGAGGCGCTCTACGTCGTCAAGGCGTCCGAGTGCACCAACTTTGGCCTCTCGGCGGTGGCGTTTGGCTGCCGCCACCTCAAGCGCCTCCGGCTCGACGGCTGGCGCTCGGGCCGGATCGGCGACGAGGGGCTCATCTCCATCGCCAAGCGCTGCCGGGAGCTCCAGGAGCTGGTGCTCATCCGGCTGAGCATCAGCGTGGGGAGCCTCACCATCATCGGCTCCAACTGCGCCAGCTTGGAGAGGCTGGCGGTGTGCAACTGCGAGAGCTTTGGCGACGCGGAGCTGTGCTGCATCGCCACCCGCTTCCGCGCGCTCCGGAAGCTGTGCATCCGGTCGTGCTCGATCACCAACTTGGGAGTGGAGGGGCTCGGGAATGGATGCCCGGCGCTCACCCGGCTCAAGGTCCGGAATTGCAACCAGGTGACGAGCGAAGGCATCGGGAATTTGCGAGTGAGACTGATGCGACCAGTGTGGATAAGTCTGCTCAACGACGTCATGTCGGTTCCTCTGGGTGTTCTTCCGGCGGTGGCGGAGGGGGAGATCACCGCTCACAACGCCGCCGCCAGCGCCAATCACTCCGCGCAAGGGGTGGTGAATCACAGTGGCAGCAACAGGATCCACCGGGCTTTCCAGGGAAGCTCGCAGATGATGAAGAGCAAGCTCAACTGGGCGACTGGAAACGCGGCCGCGGTGTCGTGCTACTGTGCCAAGCCGTGATCGATTCGATGATCTCTTGGTGACAACAAGCAAGCTCGCTCAGTTAGTCAAGCCAATCAAATCAAGGATTCATGCGAGAGATCGACTTCGATTCGAGGAGCAAGCTGGAGATCGCGACGAAGGATCGGCGTCGACAACGATGAATCCATCCATCGCTCCAGGCAGGCCAGGCTCGTTTTTTTTTTTTTTTTCTACTTCTTTTCTTTCATTGGATTTGATCGTTCTCATCTTTTGCTCTCTTTCCTGCTGCTGATTTCGTCTCTTGTGGTTGAAAAGTAGTCATCTTCGGTGATCTGTTGATCTATTTTTCGTGTGGTTCTCTCTCTCTCTCTCTTTTCTTAATTTTCTTTTATCTGGTGACCGACCATGTGGTTTATCTGACACCGATGTTTTCTTTAGATGATCACGACGGTCTCTCGCCATTAAATATCTTGTGATCAAAAGCTTTTTATATGGTTCATGCTCATTCATTGCTAATCTAAGCAAGGGATCAATCAATATCGAAGTTTGTTGCTAAGGTTCGTGACAAAGCATCCATTGAGTTCGTTAACAACGATAGGATTTCGGAATAATGAGATTTTATGAATTTTATACATAAAAACTTTTGGTTCCTAAATGATATCTTTTTTTACAAAATCATGGAAAAAAACATTGGAAAGCTGACCCCATTTTGGACAGTAAACCATCACCACAAGCGATACGATTGGCATATTCGCGGAACTTTATGCTCCGCCATAGATTATTCTCGAAGGCTCTAGATGCCGCACGCCTCCATCCAACGACCGGGCCCGCGCCACGTCACGCTTTTCGTTTCTTTTTCTTCTTCAGGGTTTTTGACTGCCACAGAGATTAGGGTTCCGATAGCGCGAGCACTCGAGGAGTAGCGGAAGAGGTAAAATCCCGAGGCATTTCCTCCCAGATCTTCGATATTTCGGGTCGCATTTCCATTGGAATCGCGGGATTGATTGATTCTTTTTCCCTCTGGCAGCGCGGCGATGGATGCCAACGGCGTTGTGGCCGTCTATGGCAATGGCGCCATCGCGGAGCCCAAGAAGGCGTCCTACGCCGTCAAGGTCGGCCTGGCGCAGATGCTGCGCGGCGGCGTGATCATGGACGTGGTGAACGCCGAGCAGGCCCGGATCGCGGAGGAGGCCGGTGCCGTGGCGGTGATGGCGCTGGAGCGCGTCCCGGCGGACATCCGCGCCGAGGGGGGCGTGGCCCGGATGAGCGACCCGGGCATGATCAAGGAGATAAAGAAGGCGGTGACGATCCCGGTGATGGCCAAGGCGCGCATCGGCCACTTCGTGGAGGGCCAGGTGCTCGAGTCGATCGGCGTGGACTTCGTGGACGAGAGCGAGGTCCTCACGCCCGCGGACGACGCCAACCACATCAACAAGCACAACTTCCACGTCCCCTTCGTGTGTGGCTGCCGCAACCTGGGCGAGGCGCTGCGCCGGATCACCGAGGGCGCCGCCATGATCCGGACCAAGGGCGAGGCGGGCACCGGCAACATCATCGAGGCGGTGCGCCACGTCCGATCGCTCATGGGCGACATCCGGCGGCTGCGCAGCCTGGACGAGGACGAGGTCTTCAGCTTCGCCAAGGAGATTGGCGCTCCTTACGAGCTGGTGAGGCAGACCAAGCAGCTGGGGCGGCTCCCGGTGGTGAACTTCGCGGCGGGCGGGGTGGCGACGCCCGCGGACGCGGCGCTGATGATGCAGCTGGGCTGCGATGGAGTGTTCGTGGGGTCGGGGATCTTCAAGAGTGGGAACCCGGCGGCGCGAGCTCGAGCGATTGTCACGGCGGTGACGCACTACAATGATCCGCACGTAGTGGCGGAGGTGAGCTGCGGGCTCGGCGAGGCCATGGTGGGGATCAATCTCAACGATGCCAAGGTGGAGCGCTATGCGGCGAGATCGGAGTAGAGGCCACAGAGAGAGAGAGAGAGAGACGTGTAGAGGCCAAAGAGATATATCGAAAAAGTGTCGACCTAAAAGGTCTCTACTAATAAAAGTAGATGGAGCGTATAATACGTATATATTCTGCTCGTGATTTTACTTTTTTTTTAATTATAAATATATTCGGGAAATCCATTTGGTGATTTTTAAAAAAGAACAAAAGAGCTTCCAAGAACAATATTTCCATCAATCAGCAAAGACTTCCAAGATTGCACATCACCATTTCAAGAATACAACTACAGATAATGAGATTAGCACTTGCATCGCAGAATCAGCACCTCCTCCACCAGTATATAATCCCCGACGTGGATCCACCACAGCAGCAGCAGCAGCACTCAGGCAAGAAAGAATGGCTTCCTCCGCCACCTTTCTCACAATTCTCGCGGTGCTCGCCATCGCCCTCGTCTCCGTCGAGGCCTCCCGCAAGGCCAAGCCAGGCACGCTCTGCCCCACCGCGCTCTTCACCTTCTCGGACTCCCTCAGCGACTCAGGCAACCGCTACCGCGAGGGCATGGGCAGCGGCGACACCCTCTCCGCCCTCGCGGGCAGGGACCCCTACGGCGTCACCTACGGCAGGCCCACGGGACGCTACAGCGACGGCCTCCTCATCCCCGACTTGCTCATCTCCAATCTCCGCCTCGAGAACCTGGCCATCGCCAGCCTCTCCTACAACGGCAGCGAGTTCGTCAGCCTCAACTTTGGCTACGCCGGCGCCACCGTCATCCCGGTCCAGGGCAACCAGCCCCCATATCTTGTCCACGCAAGTCCAGAACTTCCTGCGTCACCAGAAGAGCACCATCGCGCGGTATGGGCGCCAGACGAGCCAGCAGTGGTACGAGAGTGCGCTCGTCTACGTGGAGATTGGAGGGGACGACATCAACTTCGGGCTGGCGCAGGGTGGCAACTATGTCGTCCAGGTGGTCGTCCCTGCCGTGGTCAAGGGCCTCGCCGACGCCATCGCCACCTTGTACTCGGCCGGGGCGCGCAACGTCTTGCTGTTTAACATGCCCCGGGCGGATTGCGCGCCTACGTATCTCCAGGCGTTTGGGGAATACCAGCCGGGGACGTACCACTTGGACAAGGATGGGTGCATTGTGGAGGTTGGCGAGCTCGTCAGCGTCTTTAACTCGGCCATGCAGACGATGGCAGGGGAGCTCCGGCAGAATTACACGGGGCTCAATGTTTACTACTTTGATTGGAATGCGGCCAACACTGAGGTGATCGAGAACATGGATACGTATGGATTCACGACGAATCTTAAGTCGTGCTGCGGTGGCGGAGGGCAATACAACTGCAATGGAGGTGGCCTGTGCGGGTGTGGGACTGCCAATGTTTCATACACAGTTTGCAAGGACCCGGATGAGTATACTACCTTCGATGGTGTTCACTATACGGGGCACTTTTACAGGATTATGACCGACTTTATTTTGGCTGGGCAGTACATCTCCCCAAATGTGACCCTGCAGAAGGGTTGCAAGGTCATCCCAGAAGAGCCAGCAGGTCCACTCTAGAAATTCGTATTTATTTTTGTTTCCCCATTATTATGTTAATAACCCATTAACCCATTTTTGTTTAATATTTAACCAGAATCATTTTTAGCACTGAACACTGTTTTGATAAGTTATAAAAAAGTTCACACAATGTGTGTGATTACAAAATCAAAGTGTTTTCTTCTTTGGAGCCAGGGATGTTTCAAGGCCGCCTCCAACGTGATCCTCCTCCATGGGTCCTTTTCAGTCATCTTCATAATCAGATCCTGCGCAGCTTTAGGGCTCTGCTCAAAAACAAGCCTCCTCTCCTCGAAGAAACACTCGCCATGTGGATCAAACCCGTCAAACGGCCTCTTCATCTCCAACATGAAGTAGAGGATCAATCCCAGCGCAAACACATCCACCTTCTCGTCATATCCCCCGCCGCTCACAATCTCCGGCGCCCAGTATCTCCTCGTCCCCACTTCGCCCTGAATTCTAAGCGGAGAGCCCCTGGGACGACTGCTACAATCCACCGCCACACCAAAGTCCGCCAGCTTTAGCTCCCCCTTTTTGGTCACGAGTATGTTCTCCGGCTTGAGGTCGCGGTGCACGACCTCAAGCCTGTGCATGGCTTGCACGGTCTGCACAAGGTGGCGGAAGTGATTCGCCAGCGTCGGGACATGGTACGGCGTAAGCTCCGTACCCAAGGCCGCCATCAGATCGCTCGCGCACAGCTCCATCACAAGGCAAGTACACTCCGAGTCCTTATGTGCTTTGTGCAGTGACACTACTCCCTCCAGCCCATGTAGCTTTCGCATAATCTTACCCTCGTGATCACACAAGTTGGCGTTTCTGCTATCCATCACCTTGCATGCCTCTGTTTTCGCATGAAAAAACTTCGTTTTCCTCTTGGAAGCGAAGACCGACCCATAAGCTCCACCACCAAGACGACCCAAAACCTGGTAATGGGATTCCAGCCACGCACTCGTCGACTCCACTTCTGCGCTGGCCATTACAAACCCTAGTTGCTTTTGGCCTATTTTTATAGAATTTGACAAAAAAGGGTGATTAAGTTTAAGCTCGCCTTAAACAAGCTCTAAGTTGCAAGCCAAACAAGGTGGCGGGAGCGCAGCCAATTCACAGCCACATTCATGCCAATGGCGATGGCGAAAGCCACCAGGATTGGAGGCGACGTCCAGGCCTCGGGTTTGTCCACTCTCTTCTCCGGAGCCGCCCAGTTCATGTAGATCGCGAGGAGGAGATAGGTGGCGATGGCGGGAGCTTGGACGATCGGCCTCCCCACCGCCACCAGCGTCGCCACGCTTGGTAGCAGCGCCGTCACCACGTCCCTGTTGCGGAGATACGAGGCCGCCGAGAGGAGCGCGAGGATGATCGCGGTGACGGCGAAGTCCCAGATGTGGAGGTAGGCTCCCAGGCCCGCGAGGGTGGCGAGCCGGACGATCCATGGCTGGTTGGCGGCCTTGGACCTCACGGCCTCGCCCAGGCTGACGACCGCGGAGGTGAGAGCGATGGTGGTGAGGAGGCCCCAGACTGGCGCGTAGTCGACGATGAAGTGGTAGAGGTCGACGAGGAAGAGCCCCGCCCAGCCAAAGTATGTGACTGTCCACACTGTTGTGTCCTTCGCGTGGAGTGCCAGGAGCTTGGCGACGAGCATGCCCAGAGCTTTGAGGAGCTCCCAGAGCTCGACGAAGAAGCCGGGCCAGCGAGCGAGCTCCTCGAAGATCACTCTTCGCATCAGGAAGACGAACACGGCACCTGGAGGGAGATTCAGGGTATAGGGTTTAAGCGAGGAGTGGAAGGATTTGTGACTTACAGGATGTCCAGAGGAGATATCTCGGGCGCTCCACCGGCCTGTGCGCCAGATGTTGGAAGGTCTTTTGGAGCCGGCGCTGCTTCTTCTTTGGCGCCGCCTTGGTGGCATACTCCTCTCCTTGCTGCTGCGCCTCCTGATAATCCGAGCCTGTGGAAGAAGAGGCAGCTCGAGCGGCGAAAATGGAGGATAAGCTTGGCAGCCGCTGCCGCTGCAAGGAATGCGGAAGAGCCCTAGCGCGAGATCTATCCCCGCAAGCAAGAGGAGATTGGAACGAGGGCCAGGGGCGCTGCCCTGGCCGTAGCGCCAGCGAAACTCCAGTCGCCATAGCTATGGCGACATTGCCCCTGCCCTAAAATTTCAAAATCGTGTCGTGCGTGTGCCCTAGATGTTCCTAGTCAGCACAATGCTAGCCCAGTCAGCACGTGTCGTTAGATAAAGCTTTAATGTGGCATTAAAAAAATTTGTTGTCACTATCCAAGCTTCTAGGGTTTATAGGGAGGAAGTGTTTATTTCTTTTAGCGCCTTGCCGCCTTTGCTGATCGATCTCCCCAGCTCCGGGGGCATTTTCCTCGCCTCGATCTCGGCCGCGTAGCGAGAGATCCAGCGCCATGGCGTACAGATCGGACGAGGACTACGATTATCTCTTCAAGGTAGTGCTGATTGGGGACTCCGGCGTCGGCAAATCCAACCTCCTCTCCAGATTCACGCGCAACGAGTTCAGCCTCGAGTCCAAATCCACCATCGGCGTCGAGTTCGCCACGCGCAGCATCAACGTCGACGGCAAGCTCGTCAAGGCACAGATTTGGGACACGGCAGGCCAGGAGAGGTATGTTGTAGGCGAAATTTCGGAGATTTTGGCCGAAATCCGGCAGATCTAGATCTAGAGCCTCGTAATATCGGTGCTCTGATCGATTTCCACTGTTCTTGCGCAGGTATCGGGCCATCACCAGCGCCTACTACCGCGGCGCCGTGGGAGCCCTACTCGTCTACGACATCACCCGGCCCGTCACGTATGAAAATGTGGAGCGCTGGCTCAAGGAGCTCAAAGACCACACCGATTCCAACATCGTGGTGATGCTGGTGGGGAATAAGTCCGATTTGCGCCACCTCCGGGCCGTGTCCACCGAGGACGGCCAGGCCTTTTCGGAGCGCGAGGGACTCTACTTCATGGAGACGTCCGCCCTCGAGTCCACCAATGTGGAGAACGCGTTCAAGCAGATACTGACACAGATTTACCGGGTGGTGAGCAAGAAGGCGCTCGACGTTGGCGAGGATCCATCCGCGGCCCCTGCCAAGGGCCAGACCATCAACGTTGGCGGCAAGGACGATGTGACCGCAACCAAGAAGGTTGGGTGCTGCTCGGCGTGAAGGATCTCTAGCTGGTTTCGATCGATCCATCTGGTATGTGCCAAGTTTTCGGAGTTCCTTCTTGATCTCATGTGTGTTCTTGTGTTTCCTTTCCAGGGTAGCAATGTTTAGATCACGCGTCAAGGCTTTGGGTGGTTCTCTGATAGCTACGAATTCTTTTGCTCCTTCTAGGTAGCAGATTCTTTAAATACTTTTTTCTCTCTTCAACTACTTTCATGTGTGCTTTTACCTGCGCTTGAAGAGTTCATGAGAAGAGCGCATTGTCGTTGCTTCACGCTTCAGCTTTGGCAGAGAGCCTTTACCAGCCAGCCCAGCGTCTCTGACGACCACTCCAAATTTCTAAAGCTCGTCAACCTCTGTGCCGAGAGAAAGCTGCTGCACGAGGCCACCAGCGTCTACTCGTCGATCCAAGCACAGGGCATCCTGCTGGATGGGTTCTTCGGTGCCAGCGTCGTGAGGATGTTCATCAAGTGCCGCAGCATCCACGATGCGAGCCGGGTGTTCGAGCAGATGCTGGACCGCAGCATGGTTCTCTGGACGAGCATGGTGACAGCGTTTGTGGACGATGAAGATGTCGACCGGGCCTGGCTCTTCTTCTTCCGGATGCAGCTGGAAGGGGTCCTGCCGGATCGCGTCACCTTCATCAGCATCCTCAACGCCTGCGAGAGCCTGGCGCAGGGAGAATTAGTCCACAGATTGATCGTTGACAAGAACCTGGAGAGCGACGTCGTGATAGGAAACGCGCTGATGAAGATGCTGGCCAAGTGCTACGATCTCGATGGCGCTGCTCGCTTCTTCCAGAGGATGCCCCGGCGGGACGTGATCTCCTGGACCGGGATGGTGACGGCGTATGCCCGGAACGGGCATATAGCCGAGGCATTTGGATACTACCTGCGAATGCTGCTCGAGGGCGTGGTTCCAAACAACATCACCTTCCTGGCGGTGCTCGCAGCTTGCTCCAGCGCCCGGGACGCCGACCTCGTCTATGGCAACGTCGTGGAGGCCGAGTGGGAGACCGACACCATGGTCGCCAACGCCTCGATCAACATGTTTAGCAAGTGTGGCTGCCTCGACCGAGCTCACGACGTCTTCCACCGGATGAAGCGCTGGGACGTCAAGTCGTGGAACGCGATGGTGGCGGCGCTGGCGCAGCACGGCTTCTCTAGCGAGGCGCTGGAGCTCTTCCGGAGGATGCCGAGCGAGGTGGCGGTGGACAAGACCACGCTCGTCATTGCTCTGAGCACCTGTGCCGCACCCGAGAGCCTGGAGGATGGTAAGTCGATCCATTCTCGCGTTGCTCGCCTTGGGCTCGAGACTGACGTCGTTGCCGGGACTGCACTGGTGACCATGTACAGCAGGTGTGGAGATCTCGGCGAGGCCCGGCGAGTGTTCGATGGGATCCTCGGCAAGAACGTGGTGTCGTGGAACAACATGATCGCTGCTTACGGCCGGGACGAGTCGCTCCACTCGAGAGCTCTGGAGATCTTCCGGCTGATGCTGCTGGATGGAGTGAGGCCGACGAGGACGACGGCTCTCAACGTGGTTAGCGCCGTCGAGTGCCAGAGCGTCGGGAAGCAGCTCCACGGGTGGATCGTCGATACCGGCCTCTACTCGGACTCCTTCATTGGCAGCGCTCTCGTCAACATGTACGAGCGAACTGGCAGCTTGGGCGATGCGAGGCGGGTGTTTGAGAAGATCATCGAGCGGGACGTCTTCGCCTGGAACGCCATAGTGGGCGTTTGCGTCGGGCACGGCCAGCCGCGTGAAGCGCTCGAGTGGTTCTCGCGGATGCTGCTGGAAGGAGCCTCGGGCAACCGTGCGACGTTTCTCCTGGCCTTGAGCGCCGTGTCGCCGGACCGGGTGAGCTACGGACGGAAACTCCACGGCTTGATCGCCGAGAGTGGGCTAGAAGCTGACAACAACGTCGCCAACGCGCTGATCAGCATGTACGCTCGCTGCAAGAGCCTGGAGGACGCGAGGAACACGTTTGATCGGCTCGAGGACAAGAGCATCGTGTCGTGGACGTCGGTGATCGCGGCCTGTGTGGATCTGGGGAGCTGCCAAGAGGCCATCGATCTGTTCCAGCGGATGGAGCTCGAGCCGGACAGGGTCACCTTCACGACGGTGCTAGAGGCCTGCACGATCGTCTCGGCCCACCGGGAAGGGAAGCTCGTCCACTCTCGGGCCCGGGAGCTCGGGCTGGAATCTAACGTCTTCGTCGCCACGGCGCTCATCCACATGCACAGCAAGTTTGGCAATCTGGGGGAAGCTCGCCGGATCTTCGAGGCGGTGGAGGCGCCCACTCTGGCCTGCTGGAACGCGATGCTGGGGGGATACGCGCAGACCGGGCACAGCCAGAGCGTCATCGATTTCTTCCACGCGATGCAGCAGCGCGGCGTGGCGCCGGATCACATCACCTTCCTGGCGGTGGTGTCGGCGTGCAGCCACGCCGGGCTGGTGGAGAAGGGCGCGCGGACGTTCGCTTCCATGGGGCCGGACTATGGCGTCGGCCATGGGCTGGAGGATTATGGCTGCCTGATCGATCTGCTCGCTCGCGCCGGGCAGCTGGAGGAGGCGTACGATTTCCTGCAGGGAATGCCGTGCGGGCCGAGCGATGTTACCTGGAAGACGCTGCTTGCGGCGTGCAAGATCCAGGGGGACGTGCGCCGCGGGAGCGCCGCGGCGCGCAGCGTGATCGAGAGGGAACCCTACGGCGCCGCCGCGTTTGTGGAGCTCTCCTATATGTCCTCCATCGCTGGAGAGGAAGAGGAAGAGCTCTTCTAAAGTTTAAATTGGAGTATATTCCAAGGATATCCCATTGAAAAGTATATTTTTGGAATATGCTGGACATGCCTTAGTGAATATTCCATGCCCAGCAACGGAGATTTGACCATGACGATGATACAAAGAATTTCTTATTCTTTTGCAGGAGTAAGCTATTGCTATGTTGTCTCGCTCTTATTTGGTTGTGTTTCTATGTTTTCTTAGGTGACCTGCCAATCCTGTGGAAGAAAAGGCTTTTGTGGGAGAACATCCGCGAGGCAAAACTGGGGGAAATGCCCACCGAGCTCGTCACGGCTGCGGTGTCAACCAAGTTGAAGCGGGAAGAAGCAAGGAAAACAATGAGAGTGATTCAAGATTCGAGACTCCCTCTGGAAGAGTTAACGTCGTCAGCCCGTTTTTGCCGATATCTCGACCATTGTGACCCGGAAGGCTGACATAGTTCTCGCTGAAGCCGCGCCCTCGATCCTGGAAGCACGAGCATATGCTGGTCACTGGCAAGACAGTACAGGCTGCGGATGGATCCTGCGCTTTCGGACTGGAGTATTATATGGGAGGAAGGTGGCAAGCTTGGTGCAAGTTATTACTTCAGGGCGAATAAGGTGCTGCAGGGAAAGACCGGGGACTTCGACCGCTACATTACAGAAACTGCTGTTTTTCTGGTCGACGGTACACTGCAAATGGTTCAGAATTGGGCGAATGTTGTCTTGTTTGCACGGATAGAAAAGGCTCGCTGTGGCACTTCATCAAAGAGACGTCCATTGTCACATTCTACATGCCGGTGTAGATGGCGAATGGATCACAACAAGGCGAACGTTATTTTTTTATGTCCCCGGATCTAGATGGTTGTCTGTGGCACTTCGTCAAAGAGACGCATGTGGTCAGATTCGTCATGCCTCTGTGGGACTTGTGTGAATTGTTGCTCGCTGCGCCGCTTGCCGGGCACGGGGATTGCAGCGACGGCGCAGTCATGGAGCGTTACCAAAGGTTTGGAGGCTCAGTGCGCTCTGTCTTGGTCCAGCACGAGAATACGATGTACGCCAACTGGTGTGATCAAGCCTTACAGACTGTGAGAAACAGCGCGCGGATCATGTACACGATTCTGAACATAATGCCGGGGCAATTCGTAAGTGCTTTCATTCTTCATGTGAAGGTGGTCAGTGCAGATTATAAGGACAGCATGGTCATGTTTGCATCTCAATATGTGGAGGAGCACCTTTCGAGG